CTCATCAAGTAGATTGCAAACTATTTTAACGGCAGCACTTTCAGTTGGAAATTGACCTTGCCAATTGGACCTGGAAATACTCCTTTTACAGGTCTTCCCATTGAGGCTGAATATACTAAATGCTTACGGATGAACACCACTATAGCTAGTCCTCGAAAAATCAAATGATCATGCACCAAAGATTCAAATGATGAGCATTGAGGGCAACATAGAACGCATAACACTGAATCAAGGTCATCCAGTGGAATTTTGAGTGAAAGATGAAAGTAGTGAGATTGAGATTTATTATTTTCGAAGATGATCTTGTTATTTACAAACTTGTGCAGTTCTCTTTAATTGGTCAAGTCCCTCCGTGAAAGATTCGGATGAGCATGAGGCAGACTAGTCACTCTAGCTAGTTATCACGGCAACTGGTTGGGATGGTCTTGCGGCCGCTACTTTCGCACCATGTTCGGCTGTGGGTTTTCATCGGTGGAAATGGCCTTGCCGACTCGTAAAGTATGACATATAGAGAGAAAATGTCACGTAATTCGAAAAGACGATCGACTGTATCGTGTGGGGGGCAATAAAGCAATCGGAATCGGCTGCGTATAGGAATGACCATCCTTTATTTTTGATTTATTTACCGTTCTGTGTTCCTCACGATCTTATTTTCCTTACTAGATGACGCCGGATTTAAAGGAAACGAGAGCTCAGGGTTGAATCAGTAGTTGTGCACACCACGTTCCATGAATTTCAGAGAAAATAACTTTGGCTAGGCCGACCTTCCGTTGCTCACGCAATCATCGTGTCGTTAACAGCCGGCTAACATACAGGATTAGCAGCTTCATTTCCAGGCGCTAACGCCAACGCGGGCGTAGCTAACATTTTGCTGCGCTCCTTAACTGGTTGGTCATTGTGCGACTCGTTTTCGCTATAGCCGTCATTACCCTGAATCACATAGCTAGCAAACATCCGTTCACAGACATGGGCGCAGTAGCGTCCACAATGGAGAGGTGGCAAACCGGTGAGGGGTAAATCGCATTTCCAGCTCTTCCTGGTTGGAGTCAGTCTTGACTCTCGCTGTGACATCTACGAGGATTTCGTGTCAGCCATTGTTTATTACAAATCAGTTCTTCCACAACTTCCAGGAAGAAACCTTCATTATGTACAAAAACCCTACATGTGGTACGGGAAATCACCCTGGTCGAGCAGGTCCTCCTTCACTTCATATTCGCCAGAAAAACTCAGCAGTTTGGTCGGGCCATTCAAAATGAGGAAACGTCATTGCGTTCGTCCTTAGGCGTTGGCTCAAAGCTGCTTCTCACAACTGTCGAACGACTCTCCGAACAAATCGGAACAGAGCAATGGTGCTGGTTTGGGATCACAAGCAAAAGGTCGTTGGATCGATTCTTTGCTATGTTGGTTTTTTGTTCGCTTCGGCGACGTACCTAGAAAGAATTGACATCAATACTACATCAGTGCTGGCCTTAAATGCCTGCATGAAGAGACTGCGAGCAGTTAAGGGGGACGTCCGACAGGGATAGCGTGTAAAATATCTCTGGGAAAAGTCCCATAAATCCGTCCAAAGAACCTTTCAGCAGACATGAAGCAGTTCTAGCTCATGGCCTGAATACCATGAGCCCTTTTCCTTTCTCTTAAGTGTGACCTGCAAGAGCTCGAAGTCGATTCAGAGTTCCTGAGAACCTGAGAGAAGCACCTCGTTAAGTTCTAGGTATACATCCGTGTGAGACTGAGCATCGTCATCACCAGCATCTGATGCTTTCTCATTCGGAAGATCCGCGAGGAGGCTTGAGGACTATGCAACTTAACGGAAAAAATGTAGAGATAACGGATGAAACAGAAAGTAGGTCGAAGTCACTGACCTGTCACTAACAAAATAGTTACCCGGAGCATCCGGATAATCGCCCGCTTGTGAACTGGAACAGAATAAATGAATCTATTGGAGGATCTCGCGAAAATGCTCCGTTCATTCATAGGCCACCGTAACAAATTGCTAATAAGCGTGAGTGAAGTAGTAGAGACCTGATTCCATTTTAATGAGCAGAAACATGCATTATCGTCATGAAGCGTTCAAAAACGAAAAGCGATTCACGAAAGGAAATCATATCTAAAATTATACAGAATCAAGTTAGTAATCTTTGGATTGCTGGGCATTTCCTTCCTGCAAATCTTCTCGAATAAAGTAATTTCATAATAACAGTCCGACGCGTTTAGTATCCATTAAAGCCTCTTCTCGTGCAGTGGGGTTGGTAATCATTTTATCTTTAATCACTCCATTTTGTTGAATCTAGGGACCGCAAGTGCAAAATTAAGTTGTATAATTTCCCTCACGTTTTGCTAGTTCGCCAAACGTTTAGCCTGCAAGCTCATCCATCTCCTTTCGAATATTCTTGATGTTTACAAATATTTGTTGAATTCAACCTCAGGTCGATTGCTTTGTTACTTGTATACAGTTCTTGATAGAGAAATCTCTTTTGTTTTCATGCTAATTCGATTCTTTTTTTATGGCGTGTTTTTCAAACGCCAATAAACAAATAAACATTCTGAGAGCCTCTGAGTATAAAGAGATACACAAGATTGGATATGATTTTCCATTCCAAAGATTTCGACAACTTTGTTGATTCACAATACGCGCTATTTCCGTTACCGGAGGAGCTCCTTAGCATCAGAGCTCATTCTGGATTTATAGCTGCATAAAAAGGATATTCAAAAAGATTTCCCTCTTGAAAAGGTCACAATTGAGGATTGTTAAATAATAAAGCCTAATAGACTTCTTTTGCGGCACGGGACTGCAATTGAGAGTAGTTGCGGCCGTGTTTCTTGTGCCAATCAAGTTTTTATGGTGGAACATTTGTACTGCCTTACATTTGGATAGTCTTCTTCTTTGGAGGACTTCACGTTGCTGTTTTGAAACTCTAAGATCTTCTGAGTGC